TCTAAAAAAGGGGTTCCCATTCTATCTGGAAATCAAATATTACCTTGTGTTTCTCATCCCACAATATCTTTCCAGAGGTGGCCTGGTAATTCTCCAAGATTTTTGTTAGACTACGGCATACCAAAACGATATCAAAGATACATGCATGAATATTGATAGTGTGTCAGTTCAACACATACCAATCGAATCAAAATTATCCAAGTCATAACGATTTTAGTAAAGAAAAGAGAAGGATCGATGGTTTACCTATACAAATAGAAAAATATACTTTAACCGGGCAAGAAACCATTCAGGTAAAAATCTTAGGAATTGTACAAGCTCGTTCCTGACAAATAGATGAGAAAAGTTGTAATACCAGCAAGGGGAGGGACGCTGGGAGCCTGGGACGGAGGTGTGCTGTACCTGTATACGAGTGCGGAGAGGGCGGCGAGGTGGGACGGAACGGATTCAGTTGCCGCATCTCGGACCCGCGTCGTTGCCGCATCTCGAGGGTGCGCCCCCACATCCCGAGTCCGCCCATGGCCGCCTCCTGGACACGCACCACCGCATCTAGTAGTCTCGCAGCGTCAGACACGGTCCCCATCGGCGCCGGTGGTCGGGGGCTATCCGTAGGATACCATGGGGAGAGTAGGCGGCCCCGCCCAGCTTCGCACCTCGTTAGACGACGGTGCCCCGCCATGGCCTCGCCTAGCCTAGAGGCGGCGCGCCCCACCGCATTCTCGCCTCGCCCGGTGGCGGCCCCTCGCGGCCTCGTCCAGCGGTGGCAGCGGCCAGCGCATCCCTGAGGTCGCACGATGTGGCCGTGGCCTCGAGCCCCTCGACAGAGGCGGCGTCAGCGGGGGCAGAGAAGGGTCGTGGCCTCCTCGTCCTCACGGATCTTGACCGTTGCTAGGGATGGGGCGGGAGAGGAGGAATCGCATGTGGGGGAGAGGAGTGGCGCTTGGGGCGGTTAGGGTTCCAACCCTAAACCCTGGTGCTGGGCGTGGGGGAGAGGAGTCAGCGCGCGGGGGAGAGGAGGGGTCGGCGAGGTGGATCGCGGGGCAGGGAAGGCGGGCGGCGGCGTTGGCGCAGGGCAGGCGCGGGCGGCGGCAGCGCGCCAAGCTGCGGCGACCCCGAGGGGGGCGGGGGAGATCGGGTCAGGGGGGGCGGGATCGTAAGGAAGGGCAGACCGACGACCGTTTCATTTGTCGCACGGGACCGGCGCGAAGGTGAGGCTAAGTTTTTGTCGCACCAAAACGGTGTCTCCACTTTAGTCTTTTTAGTTGTGAGAAGAGATATAACCTGTAGCTTTTATTCAGCTTGCCTAATTTCTGTATTACATTAGGATTCCCTCCTATTTTGCGAACAACTAAAAATATGGACGTGAATGAGCATTGCTGCAAAATTGTAATAAACTCTAAGAAAAATACACTGAAATCCTAATTTGTAATTTTTTTTCCTCTATATATATATGTGTGTTTTTGATGTTTTAGAAGATTCCAGATCAAATACCGGATAGCAGGAGCCAACAATAGCAGAATCCAATCAACTAAAGGCATTGATGCTCCTTGTTTTAGTGCTACGTCCATAAGCATAGGGTTGTTTGACAAAATGGAAATACCATTTAGTCTATATTCCAGCTGTCAATCAAGAAAATCGGCTTGATGCACTGCTGCTGAGACAGTATCTCTGAACACCAGAAAGGAAACAAAAGACAGACAGAGAACATACTGAAACTGAGTACATACAATTTAATAGTAATGAAGCAGAATTTCTACTGATACATAAATACTGAAAAACTGACACTCAAAAAACATAATAGTGTATTCATTATTGCATGAAAGTGACCCTTCACAATTTTGAAGCATGCTGCTGCACCATCCGAACTGCACCACAATATTCTGAATATTTGCTTCTATCGAGTGGTTGAACAATTGAACAAAACTGCAGTACAAAAAAAAAAAAACAGACCGCTACACAGAGGTTTAGACCAAGAGCTGCACTTCACGGCAAGGGAGAAGAAACCAGCAGCCTACTACTGCAACCAGGGATTTGACTGCAAAACAAATACCGTTGCTGCACTGCTTAACTGAAAGACGGTAAGCAGCTGCTGAAAACTGGCTGCTGAAGAACCAAGAAACAAACAAAAGAGAAGTACTCTGCAGCTTAACTGCTACTAACGAACAACAGAGAGGGCACTGCACTGAACAGAGACTAATAGGAACATTTAAACTGAAAAATCATAAAATAATAGAAACATTTAAACTGAAAAATCATGAAAAAATATAAAAACTGGAACTGAACAAAACAACAACTTCTAAAATTGAACCACTGAAAAAAATTGCAATCCCTGATTAAAAGTAGGTCAACTAGTACAACATTAACAAAACTCCATATTCATAGCAAATTTGCAATCCCTGATTAAAATTAGGTCAGCTAGTACAGTATTAACAAAACTCCAGATTCATACACGTCAACTTGGTGTTTGAATAAAATAGACATATTTGACTGAAAAATCTGCAAGTTAGACATAGATTTAAAAATTCACCACGCACAGCAGATTAGCAGTTCCAGACTCCCATGAACAGAACTAACTAGATCAACTCTGAACACACAAAACTTAAGAAACACATCCAGTTGAGCACTTAGATCAACATATAACAGCCACTAAACCTCAATTAGCTACCGCTTTTAGCGAAGAAACAGAAAGTACTTCATATCAAAATTCAAACTCCAGAATCGCCATCTCCAACCCTTCAGTGTACAAAAAACAAAAAATGATTGCAGTTCACAGAAACTAAAACAAAATGAATCTCAAAACTCAAAAAAATGAAACTAATAGGAACATTATAACTGAAACTGAAACTAAGTCCAAGCAATTTAACAGCAATGAAGCAGAATTTCTACTGAAAAAACATACGAACTGAAACACTGACGCTCGAAAAACATAACTGAAATTGAACAAAAGAAGAAATACTATAATTGAACCACAGACAAAACAAACAAAGCCAACTGACCCAATTGGAAATCAAGCTCACGCTTATCCAAAGTCAAGAAAAAACACAAAGTCCATCATGCTTGATAATATAGTTCAGGTATACTAATATTTGTTGGAGGTACAGAGTGTTTTACTCAGTCAGGGATGACACACCCAGGCGACTGCTCTTTCATATATAGGAGATAAGTAGCACATTGATTACATTGATGGCTCATTAGAGCATTAACTAAACAGCTAACTGCCTGGGTACTTGCACAGTCACTTGTGCTGCCCAAGGCCTGCCCAAGGCCTTAATAGCAGAAACATAATTAAGCACAGATAACTAAGTGATAACTGGGAGCAGGACTTAACTTCTACAATATTTGTCAAGTATAAGAACTGTATAATTCATATAAGCTGCCTATATGATTTTCAATTGGCTATAACACAGATTGAATTATATATAAAAAAACTCAACAACCATATGTTTTTTTCTTTCACAAAAGCCTCGGTACTACAGCAGATGAATGAGTAAGCTTCTACCTGCATATACGTTAGCAAGGTACCCTGCTCCTTTTTCATACGAGGTTAACTGTTAATTTCAGGCACACAAAAAAGTATTTAATTGGTCACTAGTTGCCCAATCGGACAACACATGGACTAAAGAAACAATTTCATGTTCCAGCTGATGCTAACCGGGATCACTTCTATTGCAAACTTCTTAAATTCGCATGCTCTCTGACGGACTGACAGAACAAAACTGAAGGATAAACTAAATCTATCGGATTCTTCAACCGGTCACGGATGTTAAGAATTACATGCAAAATCAGGTTGGCAATTCTGCACTTCTCCCAACTAGTCTTCCTGTGTTTCCCCACCAGCCGATCTGATTCTGGGGATGCTCGACAGAAACTCCGACGGCCTATTGCTCTAACCAAACAGCAGGGGCATGAGTCTCAGGAGTGCATGGAAAATAAGGATAGTAGTAGGCTATGGAGGAGTCCGATTACCACAGACTGGAGGAGCGGGTAACGACCGGCGAGGAGACGCCGCCGCCTCCGCCTACGGCGACGCCAGAGCCGACGTTGGCGTCGGCACCTACGCCTCCGCCTCCGGCGAGCAACAAGCGGACTCTCTCCCCCACCGAGCAACGAAGCTGCCTGAATCGAGCAGAAAAATACAAAAAAAAAATAAATTGCCAAAAATTATACAGCAATGAAAGATGGAGTGATGGACTGAGATGGGCCTACCGTAGTAAAACGAGCCCACGCACTCAGAATAGCACGAATCTCAACAAAATCACAGCCACAGAAAACTGATTGATTAAGAGACACAATAACAACCGATAGATGAATAGAAATTCTGCTTCTTCTTTTTTTTGAGAAGAAGGTGGAGGTTTCATTGATAAGTTCCCTCTTTTCCTCCCTTATGGGCTGTGTCCAATCTGAAGATCACAGCCCAACCACACTGCTATAAACCTTTCTTCAGACTAAGTTAACCTTTTCCATCTATCTCTCATTTAACTTTGATATATTATTTATAGATTTGTGGGCTAGCGTCTAATCGTCATCACCCGTTGGGGCTTAATGATCTTTTATTTATTGGGCCAACTTGATGACATTATGACATGGCACATGGCATGGTCTCGGGGGCAGCATCAACAACGGTATATAGTTCTAGAGAGATTCTTAACATTCTGTGCTGTTAGACTGGTTCTCATTTTCTTCTGTGATGATTTACTCTCAAAAAGATTTAAAATGATTTACTTATGGAGATTATAACATGACCAATTTTTTTTTTTGAAAAAAGGGGTATTTTTTTCAGATAATTCTTCACTTCTGGTCTTGTTTATTGATATAATATACATTGGTACAAGTACATTATCTTGACAACACAATTATTCTTATAGTAACGATAAATTAAAAACACAATTAGACCCACATTTGTGGAAGATATCACACCCCTTAGTTACCACATTTTTTTTGAGACTCCCTTAGTCACCACATGTTTTTTGGGGATCATATATATCTGGCTGGCTCAGCGGCTAGAAGAAGTTCTTGACAACGCGAGTGCCAGGAAGTGCTGCTGCTGCTGGGCCCTTGTAGGCCTTATTGGGCCTCAACGGGCCCGTAACAAATAGCCCATAGTTTACCTTGTTGGATGCTGCTAGGTTGTTGCCACGTCCAATTTTCGATGGGCCTTCATATGCCCTGCAGGCTGTACCAGTGAGACGCTTCATGTCCATCCCATAGTCAAATATGTCCCTGAACGGCCTGCTAGGCACGCCTAGCACGATGGGCCGCTGGGTAGCTGCGTCTGCAAGAAGGCCCTCCCATCCCCATGCATCTACTGCATGCAGCTGCAACCCGTACTCGAGCTCCGGCGGCGGCGGCGACTGGTTTATGAAGTGCACGATGCTTTCCATGAGCTTCCTGCTCGTCGCGCGCAGCGGGCTGTAGAGGTGGAAACCATGGTCCTCACCCTCCGACTCCACCAGCGTCGCCGTCGCGCTGCCGCCGGCGGTGCGGGCGTAGGAGTTGCGGATGCGCGCGAACAGCCGGACCCCGCGGTCCCGCAGCGTGTCCTTCCCGGCGACGGCCACCAGGAAGCGGCGGCACGTCAGCGACGTGATCTCCTCGTCGGGAGGGTTCAGCCGGGGGTCCTCGTTGCCGGCCTGCCCCGCCGTCACGAACGGCCAGAGCCTGTACGTCCACCCTGTACACCGGCAGCACCGCCGCGCCGTCGTCAGGGCCCGACTCGGAGGGCAGCCGCTCGGCGCCCCAGAAGTAGGGCTGGACGATGATCACACCCTCGACGTCGACGCCGTCGTCCCGGCGGCTGGCGCGCACCGCCGTGTGGTATGCGATGTTCCCGCCGGCGCTGTCGCCGGCCAGGAACGTGCGCCGGGGGTCCGCGTGCTCCGCCAGCCACGGGTCGGCGAGGGACGCCGCCCACCGGAGCGCCGCCCACGCGTCGTCATAGGCCGTGGGTATGGGGTGCTCCGGCGCCAGGCGGTACTCCACCGACACCAGGGAGGTCGCGTAGCGGTGGTACGTCCGGCAGAAGGCGCTCTCCGTGCAGAAAGACCCGCCGTGGATGTACACGACGAGGGGAAGCTTCCTCCCCTTGCCGGTGGCTCGGCAAGGGAGGAACAGGCGTGCCGACACGCCGGTGCCGGCGTCGATGACCACGTCCCTCGTTGCCACCCCGCGGTTGGATGTCGGGTTCCCAGACGCTGCCACGAAAGGGCTGCACAGCAACCGCTCGACATGGCCGTCCTTGTATCGTAGTAGGAATGGGTAGAGGTCAACGTCGACGTCGTCCACGTCGCCGACAACATTCACACACTTCTTGTTTGCATGCATGGCGACGTTGCAGGCTTTTTGTTGTGTCGTGGGGTTCTGGCCAGCTACTGGTTCTTGTGAGGGGTTTTTATAGCTGGAGCCCTATTTCATTTCAGTCCGTCAGGTACCAACATATCACAAGTTTTGATCCATTTTTACTCGCAAAAAAAAAAAAGTTGGATCCATTTTGAAATGGTCATACACTTTTAGGGAAGAATTTTTTGGTCATGCATGCCACGTCAGGTACCTACGTTGAATATATTTTTCGAACTCTGAAATGAAAATTTTTGAAAGATTATCCTTTTGCAAGACGTTTGGAACCGGCATTGCCTGTAAAAAGGGGCATGACTCTCAGGAAATTCTTGAGAAAGTGTCATTTGCCGACAAACAATAATTTCAGATGGATCGATTGAGTCTTGACATTCATTGGCAACAAGTTTTACCAAAGCCTTATTTATTAATTGTGCCAAACCCATGGATTTAGCTATGGGAATTTGGGAAGCCGATTTTGTGACAAATAAATATAGTGCATCCCATAAAAACCAAATTACGCATGATTGTCCTACTGCTACTAGGGCACATGCAAACACATACATATGCACAATAATTGGAAAATATATGGTGGAAACCATCACCTACTAGGTGAAAACATGGAAACATGTTTAAAAAATGCACTTTTGTAACTTGAATTTTTTTTTGAAACTTGACAATATGCAGTGCATCTATATATCTACTCACATGTAAAAGCTGGAAAGTAAACTCATTTTTTGTAAAAGAAATTCATACAAAAATCGCAAATTTTGCTTGTATATGCACTTGGGGACAAAAACTCTGGATTTTTGTCTTTAGTATGCATGCACATGAATTTTTTATTTTCATATCAAATTTACAAAAATAACTTTGCATCTCAACTTTTTGATGTAAGTTCATGATGGATGAACTACATATGTGCCTAGTTTCAAAAAATTTCAAGTCACAAAAGTGTATTTTTTAAACTAGTTTCCATATTTCCACCTAGTAGGTGGTTTATAGAGTACAAATAGCACAAACTGAGTTGGTTAGTTTTTTTTTTCCTCTCCAACCTATCTATGTTCATAGAGAACGATGAATGCCTCCATGTATGTAAGCGTGTTTCGAAAAATAAAGTGCACATGCTGTGACTCGGTTGCATGATAGTTTTTTTTTTTTGCCTCTTGAATTTCTCTTTTGTTACTCTTGCCTTCTTTGTGTTTAATACATGATCCTAGCTAGTTGGGGCCTTGCCCTCCAGTTTTTTCTTTTAAAAAATAGCTTGTACGGGGACACCTGAACCAACTTCTTGCCCAAGCCATAATTGATACATATATAGAATTAAATTAGGTAGCTAGCCCGTGCCGACATCCGAATATAGCATATATGTGTCACACAGAGAAACGCTTCTTGATTTAATCGCTTGCCCGATCGGCAAAGGCATAAACCCAGTCGGCAAAGGCTTTGCCGACCCGCAAAGCCACGTGGCGATCCTAAGAAAGAGCAATCGGCAAAGCTCGGGTCGGCAAAAGGCGGATTTGCCGATCGCCACGTGGCACACACAATCGGCAAATCCTTTGCCAATCGCCACGCCAAAGCTAATCGGCATAGCCGTGGCGCCGTCACCGACGGCGAAGTTTTGCCGATCGCCGTTTCGGCAATCGGCAAAGAATTATTTTTTCAAAATTGTTTGCCGATCGGCCGCCACTTCGGCAATCGGCAAAGAAAGATTTTTTTTTGAATGTTCTTTTGCCGAATCGCTTTGAGTTGCAAATCGGCAAAGATTCTTCCCTGGTTTTTTCAGGCTTTGTCGATCGTAAACAATCGGCAAAGTGAATTTTTTTTTCTTTGTCGATCGCTTTGAGTTGCAGTCGGCAAAGATTCTTCCTGGGTTTTTTTGCCCAGCTTTGCCGACTGTAAACAGTCGGCAAAGCTGGAATTTTTTTTTTTGCTTTTGTTTTCTATTTTCTCGCATCAAAACCCTGCAAAATCACAAATTATAATCCAATTTCACCAGAAGCACCGGTAGCACTATTTATATCACAATTTCATCACATTTGTCGCCAACATCACCACATATATCACAATAACGCACAACATCACATATATGTCACAATAACAACCACACAAGTGCATTACAACCATCACATGAAGTCCAACACGCCGAACACCACAAGTCGACGCCCATCACACTAAGTTCAACATAACAAGTCTAGGTCCATAACGAAGAAAAGAAATACATGACAACAACTTCGACGACACGGTGGATACATGATAACAGAATCGACAAGTACCTAGCTCGTCGCGCCGTCCCGGTCTCGTCTCTGCGTCGCTCGCTTCTGTGGTTTGCCCACGGAAACCCCTTGGACCAAATCGAGGCGCGCCATACAGATCGCCACCCTCCGCCAAGACCGGCTGCCACGAAAGTATCGTCGTCGGAGGAGGGCCACGCGGAGGTGGATACGGTGGATAGGGTGCAGTGGTGGATACGACATCATCTCGATGGCCGGACTCTCCAGAGACGGGTTCGAACTCGCCATCATTACTCGCACAAGTTAAACGCCAAGTGATGTCATTAGTATCTGCAGAGATGGACGCAAGTTAAAGCAAGAGTCAATATACTCACCGGGTCCCTCCAGGGGAGCGAGAGGAGCGAGCATGGGAAAAAACTCGAGGAGGAGGTGGTGGGAGCGAACATTGGAAGAGGAGGCGGTGTAGACGCCCGGCGCCTGCATGGGATGGAAGAAGCCGCCATGTTCTCGCATCCGAGTGTTGTAGTGCCGCCGCAGCTTTGCCGGTAAGCCATCTATTGCGCCATCATCTGCGCATGCAACGTGACGATCCTCTCCTCCATCTTGGCCTCCATCTGGGCTCGCAATATTACATCCGCGGTGTTGATTGTATGTACAAAAGTAAACGCGAGTGAACGCATTGAACTAAACGGCACTTACCGTGACGCCGACCGCCGCCGGGCGCTACGGGATGTCGCTGGAGCTCGTGGGCGTGGATCGAAACTGGGCCGCCAGAGGAAACTGGGACGGGTCGAGGGCGCCGTGGGCCATGTAGTAGCGGTCCGTGCTTCCTCGGTCCCAACCTCTCGCAGGAGGTCTCGTGTCCGAGGGCTCGGCGGTGTGGGTCGAACGTCTCCCGAAGCGCCGGGCGAGCCGCGACGGTGTACTCGGTGGCCTTCTCGAGGCGGTGGGGTTGGTGTACGACGGGCCCGTCCTCCGGGTTGTAGACGTTGTTCGGATCCGCCGCCTTGCCCTTGTGAGAGAGGAGGTACGCGGTGTACTCGTTGATTTTTCGCCCACCGCGCTCGTCAAGGTCGCATTGAAAACACAAACATGGTTACAAGTATTGACAATTGAGCGCAAGGATTAAGACATGAACGGACGATACCCATCTTGTCGCGAATCGGGAGGGGCTGATTCCCTTGGTGGTGTGACACCCCTGACGCATCTACATGTGGCTGTTTCGACGGTCGGCGCGCCCACAGACGCCTCATCCGCGCGCCACATGCGCACAATCTCCGCCCAAAGATTCTCGTGGTTGTCGCACCACGACGGACACACACCGCATGACATCAAGTATTTGACATGCGAGAAGATTAGTGTAATGTTTCATGAAGGAATCGAACGAATGTTGTCATACTTAATTACCGCTTTCGTGCGCTTTGGGTGAGGTCGGCCTCCCTCGAGTTCATTCTCTGGCGGATTTGGGGCTTCTTGATGTTCTCTCCAAGCACGTTAGCGTGGAAGTCGCGGATGCTTTGTATGCGCGCTTTCATGGTACAGTCCTTGAGGCGATCTTTGCAGACCGCCTCGCACTCGCGCTACGCTGGGCCGCTTTACCCTCCTCGTGACGTGAAGAAGTCACGCACACGCACACATCATGTAGCATTTCCTTTTTGCAAGAAGTCCGACGACGCGCATATTATTTAGCAATGCGGTGCGATGAAAGACTCACCCAAAACTCCCTCTTTATCTTTGCCGCGATGGTCTCGCCACCCTCCTCGACGAGGTAGAAGTGGGACCACTTGGTGGGCACCTTCATCTCGCCGTTGACGTTGACAAGGCCAGGGTAGTACTCCTTGAGACGATCTTTGCAGACCGCCTCCTGCACTCGCTGTAGGGACACGGCATCCGAATCGACCCTTTAGCAGCTGGGCCAAATGCATGCTCCAGGAACTCAGTCGTCCCCCTGATCCATTCGTGGCTCTTACTTGCGAAGCCCGAGTACATCCACTCACGGTCACCCATGCTCTGTCATGCGGCAATGTTAACATGTGATAAAACCAGCAAGTGCATCTACAACGCGCTCCTACCATCTAATAGGTGAAGGATAGGTCCTAATCCCACCCGAGCATGCGCAGACGAGGTTAGCTTCCATGCTCCGCTCCCGTCCTAGACGGAATTTCGGCAGCACCTCCCCGCTGTTCTCCCGATACACGCCCCGGCGGGAGAGTGTGTATCCAGAGAATAACGGGAGGTCTCTGCAAAACTCCGACTTCGGACGGGAGCGGAACATGGAGCTAACCTCGTCTGCGCATCCTCTGCTGTCCAAATATCGTGGACAATCCGAAATGGATACGGTTATACATATGCGAAGAACGATACTTCCAACCGTATCCGTTTGGACGGGAGACGCTTAACCGGGTAACGCGACCACGACTACATGTGGCGGAAAGAGGGTCATACTGCGCAGTGCCGGTGAAGAAAGGCTAAGGGAAAAGGCCGAAGTCGTGCTCCTCCCGGCTAGCCTCCAATGGGAGCCCCTCCAAAAAAAAAAACAATTAGTGAGAACGAAAAATTTTCGGCAAAGACCTCCTCGCATCTGGGAAGGTTACCAAACTCAGAAGAAAAGACGGCACGATGGCCGACAAACACATATACATGTCGCACGATGGCCGACAACCACAAATGTATTTCCAATCCATGCGAGAAGAATATAAGGTGTATTAACAAAGTAAACTACTACTACTAGTAGTACTACTACCTCGTCATCACGGACGG